TTCAAAATTCAATTATAATGCTTAGCTCCAAGTTGCAGTACAGTTTCCAATTTTACTACAGAGGAAAGTCAACACTAGCAATTGTTTGAATAACAAAGAACCTGAAGGATTATTTTCCTGCATTCACCATCGCCTACTCATAGACATGGAAAACTGCAAGTGATCCATGGAAATTACTAACGACAACAATAACATACCCAGTGTAGTCCTACAAGTGGGGTCTAAGGAGGGTAGAGTGTACGCAAACCTTACCCCTGCCTTTAGTAAGGCAGAGAGGCTCTTTTCGATAGACCCTCGGCTTAGAACGGGGAGAGGAGAAGGGCAATAATAAGCAAACCGAACTACCAACGGAAGCAGGAATACAAAACTAGCAGTAAATAATGATCCATGAAAATTGTAGGCTATATAAATTTTGGACCGTCATAAAAAGGCATAGTAATCTATTTGAAAAAACGGATACTTGGAGGGGCGATTGTCTATTAGCAATCACGAAAAGCAAGCCCTATGTGTCACAAGAGGGCACCATAGGGTGTTTACGTTTTGGTGGGATGGAGGGCTTTTGTGCATTGTCGGAAAAGAGTTAAAAATGCCCCTAAACTATCGGAAAAGGTTTAAAAATATCCTTCATCCACCTATTAGGCTAAAAATATCCCTTCATCCTACCTTTTTGGTTTACTTATACCATTTGACCGTTAGGTCAATGCTAAATTAAAAATAATAATTATTTAAATTCCACGTGCTAACTTCTTATTGGCCAAAATTAAAACATCTAACTCATTAGAAAGACCCACCCATATCTAACAGTTTTTCGTACTATCCCGCTTCAAACACTAGCCCGACCCGAACAAAAAGTTCAACTAAAAAAAGAGTTCCCACTTCTATCAAACTCCATGGAACAAAAGCTCTAAGGAAGTTGTAGAGAACATATAGACGCAAATTTACTACGTGTTTTTTTTTTCTTGTTATGGCATCCATCCCAGTTTATCATGATAGACACAAATTGCATTATATTCAAGATAGGTTTAATTTAATTATTTTCACATAACAGATTGATCTCAAAGTGATTGTTTGGAAGATATTATAAACCGTTGGACTACCCTAGTTTTTCGTCCCACATTATTGTCAAGAAAATCATTGGCTTATTCATGCTAGGTTTTTCTTGTTTGTTTAATTTATTCACGAACCTTTATTTGATAATAATGTTATACATGAGATTAATCAAGAAAATGAACACATGTAAATCTAAGGGTTAGATGGAAGTGGGCCGTCTTTTTCTTATTTGAACTTTTTATTCGGGTTAGGTTAGTGTTTGGGGCGAGTTGGTCCGAAAAACGGGTAGATATGGGTGGGTCTCTCTAATAGGTTGATGTTTTAATTTTGACCAATAAGAAGTTGCCACGTGAAATTTAAATAATTATTTTTTAAATTGACGGTCAAAGGGCATAAGTGAACCAAAAAGGTGGATGGAGGGTATTATTAATCCAATAGGTAGATGAAAGGTATTTTTAGACGTTTTTCAATAGTTCGGGGGCATTTTTGACCTTCTTCACTGCATTATAGCACAAGCCATAACTACTTCTCTTACCTTCTTGATTGGAGGTCCTATGAGGATCAATTCATTCGTGAATAATAATTCAAGGGCGTGAAGCGAGTACTTCTAGCTGCTTCGCGTGCTTCTTATTATGGCGGCTATGTTTTCGTGGCAAAAATGAACGAAAAGCGAGATGAGCGTGCTAAGCAATAGATCTTCTTTTATCCTTAAGGATAGGGAAGTCTAACTCACCCTCAGGGGGAGATATCGGAATAAAGGACCCATCCCACTTGATTCCACAGTTTTTGTATCTCTACGTACTTGTCCAGGACAAGTGAGATCTTAGGTCTGCATACCTGGCTGTAGCTCAAACAAACAAGAGTCAGGTCCTGTCTATATTCAGGCACGGCCCGCCCATCTACTGGTAGGTCGGGAAGCCTCTATGCCCCTTAATGAATCAAATGGTCGTTCGACCTTCGTTTTGATTCCATCAGCCTGCAAAACTCTGCCTATGGGTCTCTTATGGGTGCTACAAGGGGTGTTATTACATAAGCATCTTGGATATTAGAAACCAACAATAAAAGCAAGAGATGGACAGTGCTTACCTGATAAAAAGACTCTATCTGGATCACCAATGATCAGTATAAGTCAGTTCATGCTATTCAGCGAGGCGCGAGCTGCTATCTGAGTTGGCGCTTTTTTCTCCTGCAAAAGGATGTCTTGTATACTGACAGCAGACACAATGCAAGACCAATGCTATTTGGTCTTTATCCGGACCCGATAAAAAAAATGGGACCACTTCTTGTGGACTCGTTGAGAATGATTATGATCTAGTTCATGGCCTATTAGAAGCAGAAGGCGCTCTGGTGGGATCTTCATAGACAGAAAAAGATTGCAGTCAGTTTGATAATGATCGAGTGACATTGCTTCTTCGGCCCAGACCGAGGAATCCCTTAGGCAAAACGACTCTTGTTTTATCCTTGATCAGAGATTTTCCTAAAGAGAAAAACATGGTAACTAGTCAAGTAAATTGACAAATCATATCAGTGTAGGTATTACTCTACAAACCGATCACTGCCTTCTCTTACAGGGAAGTTTAGCCTGCAGCATTTAAATGGTATATGTTTGGTAGGATAACAGATTAAATTTCCCCCTTCCACACTTTCTGTACCTATTTGCTTCCTTTCCCGTTGACAGCAGCATAAAAGAAGAATTGTGTCCAAGTAGAGGAATGACAAAGAAAATGTAATCTTCCTTTTACAATTTAATAGTTCTTTCTTCTCCTACTCATTCCATGATACAGCACTGCTCATACACTCTATATATGACAAGCATTCTCCTCAAACTTAATATGATATTCATATTCTGAAATCAGGAACCTTAATTATGAAAGCCTGAGAATATGAATATCATATTAAGTTTGGCACGGCAAGAATGGATCACATTGGATGTATAGTAGTTCAGCACCAACTGTCATCCTGCTATTAGATCCACCCTTTTGGGACTCGGGAGTCTAACCTATGTCTATGTATATATTGGATTATATTCTATTCGACAACAACACAGCTGCATTATTTACATTCAAAGGAGGTAATGACATAGAAACTCGACCAAAAGCAGCATAAACATCCCAGACTCTCACTAAATAGTCATATTGCGCCAAACTGCTTGATGCAATGCAGCATTTATTGTGATCACCTCAGTTGCACTACTTCTTAAATGGTGAACTTTCATTTCCTACGCTGCAAATTACATGCAGCTTTTACAATATAAAACAGCCACCCCCTAATTCTAATTACTCACAAAGACCTCCATAGTTCAAGAAAGACAAAAATTTAAAATTAATTGGAGAATAATTAAAGAACAAAAGTAGTTAGGAAGCCCTAACCATATTATTCACATTACTACAACTAGCCCTAATTCAATTCTAAGTACCGTTAGAGAATGTGCTTGTCCCTTAGTAGTCTAAGAGTTTCAAAGGGTCAACATTATTGACTTAAGGTTTTAGATTGAATGCTAGCTCTCTTTTTTGCTCCGGCCTCACTCTTCAGCTTGCTGAGTCTAAGGCAAAATAATTCATTCCCTCAATAATTCCATATCAATATCATACACGAAGACTATAAATGATAGCCTACTGCATGAAGTATCTCCCGTTCATGCAGGGTCGAGAAGAGCCACACCCGCCAAGGGGTGTGGTGTAGGCAACCTACCTAATGCAAGTATCAGTGGTTAATTCTACGGCTCCTACCCTTGACCTTTACACGGAGATTACTTTACGTGCCTCCAAGACTCCCGTTATAAACACAAACACTATGTACATAGAAAATAACGAAAAACTCACTGATCATGTCAGCACACAGAGTTAATATAGGATTATGGAAGACGAGGAACACTTACACACAGAACTGGATCAAGCGGTGCAAAGCAACCAAAATGAGCAAAAAAACCAATACTAGTGACGACATTGACATAGAAGATGATGTATAGTGAAGTGTTCCTAGTATCAACGAACAACTATACCTTAATAATGCCAAAAATAACACAAGAATGTTTCGATGATAACAAAGACAATGTAAAGAGAAGAATTCAAACAGAGAAAGAGAGCGAGAGAGACGTGAAGAGCGGCACAAAACAGCTGGAAATAACGACATGACTTTTGTCTTTACTACTAGTTAATTTTCCATCTTCTTAAATTTTGTCTCTTTTTTCATAGTATAAAAATTGACTCTGCCACCCCAGTAATATCTTGTAAAATGATTTAAGCATACTGCTGCCGTCGGCATTAAGTTTGGTAAACCTCAATTTGTTGTTTGATGAAACTAGTAACTGGACAGCAAAATTACTAAAGTACAATAATATACAGACACCTTCATTTGATACATAGTTATACACGGTTCTTTTTCACCTTTACTGAAAGTGTTGCGCTTTAGGCCAAGTCCTCTCAAAAAACCTCTACCACGATCTAGTGTTTCCCCGTCGAACTGAGTTTGTAGAACCATTGACTTTGATCAGCGGCGGAGGCAGGATTTGAAGTTTATGGGTTCGAGAATCTAATCTGTTTAAGTTATTGGGTTCTAAATTAATAAATTATACATATTCGATGAATTCCTTAAGACAAATACATGGTATGAATAAAAGCTACTGGCTTCAGCCGAACCCGTAGGTTGTGTTCTAGCTCCGCCTCTGACTTTGATACCAGTTTGTTAGGCTTCACTACACTTTATACGTAGCTTCTCAATCTTTTCAACTATCAATGTGAGGCTTTTGTTCGCATTCTTAGAAGAGAGCAGAGGTAGTCCCACAAGTCGAAAACAGAGGTAGAAAAACAAAAAGGAGAAGTGAGATCAACTAGAAACTGCTTTCTATTCAATTTGGCTTATGTGATAAATATCTTATCTGATATATGCATATATCCATCTGAGCTAACATTGAGTCTAATCTGGAATATCCTTTGAGGCCAAGGCTTTTTCCCTATGGAGGTGAGTGCTGGTCTAGTTGCTGGCTCTCACAAACGGAATGAAATAGTTGTTATTCGTCGAGATGGTGAATTTTCTGTAAGTTGTCTACTTGACCAAGTCATTTCTGTAGTTTTAGTTTCAGTGTTATGTTTGTAATTATGGTTAATGAACTTGAATTATGGTGATCACCAGGCAAGGCCATTGCAGCAGCTGAGTAGTCAAATTTGCAAAATATGTGATGACGACGTGGGGTTAACAATAGATGGAGAGCCCTTTGTAGCTTGCAATGATTGTGCTTTTCCAGTTTGTAGAACTTGTTATGATTATGAGCGCCGAGAAGGTAGCCAAGTTTGTCCTCAGTGCAAAACACGTTTCAAACGTCTAAAAGGTAATGATGGATCATTTATTTTCTCTGAAATGTTCAGCTATTTAGTTACTCCTATATTTCTGATTCGTGAACGCTTTATAGGCTGTCCGAGAGTACAGGGCGATGAGGAAGAAGATGACATTGATGATGTTGAAAATGAGTTCAATTTTGAAAGTGATCACATGAAACATGATTTTCAATGCTATGGTTTTGAGCACTTTGAGCTAGACATGCCTTCTCATGAGTCAAGAAACCAACTTTCACAAGTTCCTTTGCTAACCAGTGGTCAAATGGTAAAAACACTATTACCTCATTCACAAATTATTTTTAAAACTAATCCATATGCATTATCATGTCGATATATTCATGAACAAGACTAAGATTTTAAGCACATTGTGTTGCAGGTAGATAATGATATCGACATAGAAAAACATGCGTTAGTACCGATGGGATTAGCAGGGTTCGGTGGCAAAAGGATGCTTGCCCTTTCCTACCGGGATACCAACACTTCAGGTGATACACTATAATAAGACACTGAATCAAAAGTTAGAGTACCTAGTTGCATGGATGGTGAATTCTTGAATTTAGTTTCTGCAGTGCAACCAAGATCTCTGGATCCTTCAAAGGATTTAGCTGCTTACGGGTATGGAAGTATAGCCTGGAAGGAGAGGATGGAAAGTTGGAAACAAAAGCAAGAGAAGCAACAAATGACGAAAGATAGTGTTTGCGAAGGCGGGGATGAAGATGAAGAATTTGACTTATCAGTGTAAGCTTTGCAGAAGCCATCCCATGTGTCTTAGTTTGTCTGAAGGTCATCCCATAAAGATTAAACATAGGCATACCTGCTTTTGGAAAATAAGGCAGCAGCAACTAGTATTTAATACGCTTATGAAAATGATGCTGCTTCTTCAATGTATTTGTTGTGACAGATAGAGAACCAAGCACTTATAAGATTGTAGATTTGCTAATCTTTGCATTACTTTTTGCAAGATCAGGTTGAATGAAGCAAGACAACCATTATCAAGGAAAATGCCAGTTCCATCAAGCCAAATCAACCCTTATAGAATGATCATCATGATTCGGCTTGTTGTTCTTGGCTTTTTCTTTCATTATAGGGTCTCTCATCCTGTAAATGATGCTTATGGATTGTGGCTAGTTTCTGTAATCTGTGAAATTTGGTTTGCTGTGTCATGGATCCTTGATCAATTCCCTAAGTGGCTTCCCATTGACAGGAAGACTTACCTTGACCAATTGTCCCTCAGGTCAGTGACTAACCACTTTTTGTCCTCTATAATGTTTACTTTCTCTTTGCTAATGGATAAATAGTCATCTCTTTCACCTGAAAATTTGCAAAAAATTTGTCTTTCAGATATGAAAAAGAAGGCCAACCTTCTCAACTTTCTGCAGTGGATATATTTGTGAGTACAGTAGATCCACTTAAAGAACCACCTCTGGTGACTGCAAACACAGTTCTGTCCATTCTGGCGGTGGACTACCCCGTCGATAAGGTGTCATGCTATGTATCGGATGATGGTGCTTCTATGTTGACCTTTGAAGCATTATCAGAAACAGCTGAGTTTGCTAAGAAATGGATTCCTTTCTGCAAGAAGTTTAATATTGAGCCTCGGGCTCCTGAGTCCTATTTTTCTCAGAAAATGGATTATCTCCAAGACAAGGTTTTGACTTCATTTATAAAAGAGCGACGAGCAATGAAGGTAAAATAATCATGAGTCCCCAATCTTGTTCCAGGGTTTTAAACTAAAGGTTACTGTCTTTGGTTTTCGGTTGGTGTTTAATTTTTTTTATTTTTCCTGATGTTGCAGAGAGATTATGAGGAATTTAAAGTACGGATAAATGCTATGTTTGCTAAGGCGCAAAAGGTTCCCGAGGATGGGTGGACAATGCAGGATGGGACTCCTTGGCCAGGGAATTATGTTAGAGATCATCCTGGCATGATTCAGGTGCTGAAATTTGAAATTGATTATACATTGTTGGTTATGGCTATTTTACTTAACCTCTTTCTTGTTCAATCTAGCTGCAGTAACTTCTTCTTATGTGTATCATTTACAGGTCTTCCTTGGCCAAAATGGTGGGCTGGATACAGATGGAAATGAATTACCTCGACTAGTATATGTATCCAGAGAGAAAAGACCTGGATTCAACCATCACAAGAAGGCTGGTGCAATGAATTCTCTGGTTTGTATTGCATAAAAATTTATTTTTGCGGTATCTTCTGCTACTGCGATGTTTCTTTTTATGAGGTGATAATCTATTTGACAGGTCAGAGTGTCTGCTGTGCTCACTAATGCTCCTTATTTGTTGAATTTGGATTGCGATCACTATATTAACAACAGCAAAGCCATAAAGGAAGCTATGTGTTTCATGATGGATCTATCGCTGGGGAAAAGAGTTTGCTATGTTCAATTCCCTCAGAGGTTTGATGGCATTGACAAGAATGATCGATATGCTAATAGGAACACAGTGTTCTTCGATGTAAGTGCAAGCTTGTTACAACTACAAAAATACAGATCTGCTTTAACATTTGTATATACTTGAATGATTGTATATTTGCTTTTATATGAATCAGATTAACATGAAAGGATTGGATGGAATTCAAGGACCAATATATGTTGGAACTGGATGCGTGTTCAGACGCCAGGCGCTTTATGGACTCGATGCGCCCAAGCAGAAGAAAGCTCCAACGAGGACATGCAATTGCTGGTTAAAGTGGTGCTGCTGCTGCAAAAGCTGTTGCTCCAGAAGGAAAAAGAAAAGTAAGAAGCCTAAATTGGAGGTGAAGCCTCTTATAAATGACGAAGACTCCCTCGCATTAGTGGTCTCTCAAGAGGGAAACCAAGGTAAAGTCACATTTCTGATATCCTTCTGCATACTGTGCTGATACCATTTACTGATATCCTTCAATTTTTTTATGTCAATGTGGCTTGAGCAGGTGACAATCGATCTCCCATCTCTGATCACAAGTTAGAAATGAAATTTGGGCAATCTCCAGTTTTTGTTGCATCAACATTGCGAGAAAATGGTGGAACTCTTAGAAGTGCTAGTCCAGCTTCCCTGGTAAAAGAGGCCATTCATGTAATAAGCTGTTGTTATGAAGATAAAACAGAATGGGGAAAAGAGGTAAGTCAGGTCCATCTCTTCAAGTTTCTTGCTTTCTTCAAGTATCAAAACTACTTTCGAATGTACTGATCGTTCTACCCAACTGCTTTGAAAATGCAGATTGGCTGGATATATGGTTCAGTCACAGAGGATATATTAACAGGATTCAAAATGCATTGTCACGGCTGGAGATCCATATATTGCATGCCTACAAGGCCGGCATTTAAAGGATCAGCACCGATCAATCTATCAGATCGTCTCCACCAGGTCCTTCGATGGGCTCTGGGTTCTATTGAAATCTTTTTCAGCAGGCATTGCCCTCTCTGGTATGGATATGGTGGTGGTCTCAATTGGCTCGAACGTTTCTCATACATAAACGCCACCATTTATCCATTCACGTCTCTTCCCTTAGTCGCTTATTGCACTCTACCTGCTGTATGCTTGCTCACAGGAAAATTCATTACACCTGAGGTAAAATCTTTTAACCATAGAAAAGACATCCTATTATCTACATGATCAAGCTGCACTAAACTAAACTCTTCAAAAAGATATCTAATTCTGTTCTTTTCTTGTTCAATCTTGCAGCTTAACAATGCTGCTAGCTTGTGGTTTTTGTCACTTTTCATTTGCATATTTGCAACTAGTATTCTTGAAATGAGATGGAGTGGAGTAGGGATAGATGAATGGTGGAGGAACGAACAATTTTGGGTGATCGGAGGCGTTTCAGCACATCTATTCGCTGTGTTCCAAGGTTTACTAAAAGTATTAGCCGGGGTGGATACAAACTTCACAGTAACATCAAAAGCCGGAGATGATGAAGAATTCTCAGAGCTTTATGCATTCAAATGGACAACACTTCTCATTCCACCAACCACATTGCTAATAATAAACATTATAGGAGTTGTTGCTGGCATTTCCAATGCTATAAACAATGGGTATGAATCATGGGGGGTATTATTTGGGAAGCTGTTTTTTGCTTTTTGGGTGATTGTTCATCTCTATCCATTCTTGAAAGGACTTTTAGGTAGACAGAATAGAACTCCTACAATCATCATTGTATGGTCAATCTTAGTTGCTTCCATATTTTCGCTTTTGTGGGTAAGGATTGATCCATTTTTGGCAAAATCTGATGGTCCAATTCTTGAAGACTGTGGATTGGATTGTAACTAGTATGGAAACTCAAGTTCAAACTCATAAATAGAAGAAGATAAACACCTTACAGATTCTTGTTCTCTCTTTCCTCATGTTTTGGCAATCTGGTTTCACAAAACAGACAAAAATATGTGTGTATATATATATTGTCATGGGCGGCTTTCCAGCCATGCCCCATGACCTCTTGGGCACGCCCCGTGGCGTCCTAGCAAGCCTCCCAACGCCTAGCGCCACGGACGGCCCCGTGGTCTTGGCTGCGCCAAGTGACAAGCGCGTATGTGCCCCTGTCGCCCCACCGATATCCCTCGCCAGTGCCCAGCCGCAGGCAGATGCCAACAGCGCCGCGCGCGCAGACAACGCCGCGCGCGCAGAACGTGATGCCAAAGACAATGTTGCTGACAACGAACCTGTTTCTGCCTTGTAGAAAACTAAGTCCTTTTCATTGTAAATATAGAGTAGCTTTATTTCATGTACTTCCATTATGTTTCTCTAGCTTAGTCAAGTCTAGTCTTGTAACTTTGGTTTATTTTTTTTAAGCACTATTAGGGGTGATCAAGCAATCACACTTTCTAGCAAGCAAACAATTCTCCGTACTGGTGTCTCTCCCCCTCGACACCGTGTTGCTTTTTTGTAATAGCTTTCATTAATGCAATCAAGCTTTCTTTCATTCTCAATTCTCATTTCTATTCTCTCAATTGCCCTTGACATTAGTTTTCTCGTACGGCACTGATAATCTCGTCTAGCGTACGGAGGGGACCTCATTTGGCGGACAGTAACTGCATTGACATCAGTTGCTTAGCCTTACGTCGCCCTTCCAAAACAGTTGGTATCATAGCCTAGGCTCGACATCGAATGAGGGAACGCATTGCCATTACCACCATTTCTGACCATGGTGAATCATGGGGACCGCATTGCGGTCCTTGAAGAGACGGTTGATGTATTACGGCCTATCGTAGATACGATGCCTGAACTAAGAACCAGCCTAGTGCAAAGGTTGGACGACCTAGACCGGAGAGTGCTCCAGGCCCAAGTTGACATAGAAAACATCAGTCGCGACTCTGAGGGAGATCGACAAATGGCAGCCACAAAGATAGCCGAAATTTTTGGCAAATTTGAGGGCCTCTAACAGGAGTGTGCCAAAGATTTAGCCTACAAGGCACAAGAGGCAGACAGGGTGACTGCCATGCAACAAACTATAGACAACTTGACAGACCAGCTCAATGTTGTCAATGCTGCTTTACAGGGCCTGCTTCGAGGAGGCGAAAACCAAATCGGGGGTGCTGTGAACCAAGCTTCCGCGACACAAAAACTGAAAATTCCTGAGCCAAAGCCATACAATGGAACTAGGAATGCCAAGGAAGTGGAAAACTTCATCTTTGACATCGAACAGTACTTCGATGCCATTAGGGGCCTAGAAGAAGCTAAGAAGGTAGCAACTGCTGCCATGTATCTTCAGGGTGATGCTAAACTCTGGTGGCGGGTGAAGTACGAAGCCATCAGGGCCGGTGAACGATGCTCTCAAGACATGGGCAGAACTGAAGGCAGCCATACGGCTACAGTTCTTCCCGAAAATGTTGAATACAACGCAAGGAGAAAGCTACTAGAGCTCCGCCAGACCAAATCAGTGCGGGACTACGTGCGGAAATTCTCCGCGCTCATGCTAAACATATGTGACATGGGGGAAAAAGACAAGCTCTTCTCCTTCCTGGAAGGGTTGAAACCTTAAGCCCGTATGGAGCTGCAAAGACAAAGGGTAGATACCCTACCCAAGGCGATCCAAGCAGCTGAATGCCTTGGGGACTATCAAGTGGAAGCTCGAAAAGATAGGCCTCAACCGCCTGCCCGAGCGGGATACAAAGGGGGCCAGCCTAGCAATGGTGTCCCTAGCAAAAGTGGGGGAGATCGGAGTACAACTAAATATAAGGCTCCCTCCTCAGGCAGCAATAGTGCTGCGTCAAGCAACAATGATCGGGGGAGAAAGCCTCCTTCAGGATGCCGTCATTGCGGCAGACCACATTGGAATAGTGAATGCCCACATGCACAGATGAACGCTTATCAAGCTTATAGAACTGATGACGACTCAGAAAATTTGGACCAGACCGAACCAGTAGGTACCTTCAATGCAATTGTTGGCTCTATTTCTGAGGCATTAGCAGAGACCATGCTGGTATCCGTAAGAAGAAGGACCCATGCCCAATCACAAAGAAAGGGAAAAAGAAGGCGGATGAGGGGACTCCTCTTAAACAAGAGAGGACCTTGATGTTCGTCGAGATGAAGGTGAATGGTAAGCCCATTCGGGCGATGATAGACACGGGTGCTACCCACAACTACTTAGCCTCGACTCAGGTGGAGCGCCTTGGTCTAGTTGTAGGAAAGGGTAGAGGTCGTTTCAAGGCTCTCAATTCACCTCCTCAGCCAGTGGGTGGAATAGCCAAAGAGGTACCAGTGAAGCTTGGGCCTTACGAAGGAAAATTCAACTTGCGAGTGGTGATCATAGATGACTTCGAGTTGATAGTTGGGTTGGAATTCCTAAGACAAACCAACACCATGCCCGTACTACATGCAGACATGCTACTGATGATGGGAACAAACGGGGCCAAGCCCTACATTATTCCGTGCATGCCCGTGAAGATGGCCGTTGAGAACATCTCGGCCTTGCAGTTGAAGAAGGGGGTCAAAAGACATGAACCTAAGTTCCTGGAAACCCTCTGCATTGAAGATATAGAACGCTCCTCGGTCCCATTCCTGCACCCGTGAAGGAGCTACTATTGGAGTTTGAAGATGCCATGCCACAAGACATGCCAAAGCGACTCCCGCATAGGCGCACTGTGGACCATGAAATTGAGTTGGTGCCGGGTGCGAAGCCACCCGCCCGGGCGCCTTACAGAGTGTCACAACCCGAACTCACTGAGCTTCGGAGACAATTGACGGAAATGCTAGACACAGGAATCATTGTGCCCTCCAAGTCCCCATACAGGTCCCTTGTTCTATTCCAAAAGAAACATGATGGCAGCCTGCGACTCTGTGTGGATTATCGGACTCTAAACAAAATCACCGTGATGAACAAGTACCCTATTCTGCTAATGGCAGACTTGTTCGATAGACTGGGTGGTGCGACGGTGTTCACCAAGATAGACCTGAAGACAGGTTATTGGCAAGTTCGGATTGCAGAGGGTGATGAGCACAAAATGACCTGTGTGACAAGATATGGGTCGTACGACTTCCTGGTTATGCTGTTCGTCTTAACTAACGCTCCAGCCACATTTTGCACCTTGATGAACCAAGTCTTCCGAGAGTACATTGACGAATTTGTGGTTGTCTATTTGGATGACATTGTGGTATATAGCCAAACACTTGAAGAACAACTAGAGCACTTGCGGAAGGTCCTAGCCCGATTGCAGGAGCACGAACTATGTGCGAAGCTGTCCAAGTGATCCTTTGCTCAAAAGCAGATTGACTTCCTCGGACATGTCATCGAGGAAGGGCGGATCAAGATGGACCAACAGAAGATTCAGGCAATCACAGATTGGCCACCGCCTAAGGATATCCACGTCTTAAGGGCGTTCCTTGGCCTATGCAACTTCTATCGGCGATTTGTGAAAAACTACTCCTTTACGGAGTGCCATTGACAGAACTCCTCAAGAAGGTCACGCCTTGGGATTGGGGACCCAGGCGAGCGGAGGCCTTCAACGCATTGAAAGCGGCTATGTCTAGTATCCCCGTCAACGCATTGAAAGCGTCTATGCCTAGTAGTCCCGTCTTGGCCCTCCCTGATTTGGCCAAGCCATTTGAGGTACAAATGGATGCATCCGACTATGCCCTCGGCGGAGTCTTGCTACAAGAAGGGCATCCTGTAGCGTACGAGAGCCGAAAGCTGAAGGATGCAGAGCGGCGCTATGCCGCCCATGAGAAAGAATTATTGGTTGTCGTCCATTGCTTGCGTCTTTGGAGGCACTATCTGCTGGGGACCCCGTTCGTGGTCAAGACAGACAACATAGCTGTTAGCCATTTCATGACCCAACGGAAGCTGAATGGTCGACAGGCCAGGTGGCAGGAACTCCTAACAGAATTCCATTTCAACCTGGAGTATCAAAGTGGGAAGACTAATCATGTGGCTAATGCGCTCAGTCGGAGAGCTGATCTAGCATCGGTGTGCCTACTCGCCACCCTAAGGGGGAGCGAAGTAGCCACCTCCATCAAGGACCAGAAACAGGATCTACTCATCAAGGATCCCGCTGCACAGTATTTGGTTGATTTGGTAGGACAGGGCAAGACTCGCCAGTTCTACATGGAAGATGATTTTCTAAAAGTGAAAGTGAACCGACTTTATATTCCCAAAGGAGGAGATCTGCGAAGGACTCTTCTGGCGGAATGTCATGATACTCTGTGGACCGGCCATCCTAGTGAAGAACGCACCATGGCTTTACTTCTCCGTGCATATTGTTGGCCTCAAATGGCCGATGACGTCGCTCAGTATGTGAAGACTTGTCTAGTATGCCAGAAGAACAAGTCGGACCGCTTGACACAAGCGGGACTCTCGGAACCACTAGCTGTCCCAAAGAGACCTTTGGAAAGCGTTTCCCTGGATTTCATCACCGGATTGCCCAAGGTCGGAGATCTCACAACTATCTTGGTTGTGGTGGATCGGTTTTCCAAGTATGCTACCTTTATAGCAGTCTCACAGTATATATCAGTAGAAGATACAACTCGAGTCTTCTTCTCTCATGTCGTCTAATATTGGGGCCTGCCCAAAGACATTGTTAGTGATCGCGACTCATGCTTCACTAGCAACTTTTGGACCCAACTCTTTAAGTGCCTCGGGTCAAAATTGAGTCACAACTCAAGTTTTCATCCACAATCTGATGGCCAGACAGAGCGGTTCAATGGTATGTTGGAGGAATATCTCCGCCACTTTGTAACCGGATTGCAGAAGAATTGGTTGAAGCTTCTGGATGCTGCTCAACTGTGTTTCAATTCACAAAAGAGCTCTAGTACAAATAAAAGCGCTTTTGAAATTGTTACCGGACAGCAACCTCTACTCCCACACACCGTGAATGCACCAAACATATCAAAATCTCCTCGAGTTGCTAGCTTCTCAAAAGAAT